AGACTGTACTTCAAGGAATAACTGTCACCACTGTCATTGCACATGTACATGTGCCTTCATAATGTCTTCGTACTCGAAGGGCCTCTGGCTGATCTGGACCTTGCTCCAGGGTTTCCATACGCAGGTATGGGAAAACAACTTGAAAGGTTAACTCTGCTCCTGCATGCCTTCCTCTAGATATCCCATTACCATCCTACACATACACATTATTAAAGCAGTTTTGTGAAAATGAGACATGTTTGATATCCAAATTAATGTTGAATGTTTAATTATGCCGTTGTTCATACCAAAGCACCTATGTGCAGCTATTAGAAATACAATTTCTGACAGTTGCCTTTCCCTATTACCCAATAGGCAGTGATCACTCTATGTTTTGAGTTGTATCTTCTTTTTTGACGAAATCATCTCCGATAATGAGTCCTGGATGTTCTTCATCATGTATTTTTCTATGCAATAGGAGGTCAGCGGTTTGTGAAAAGCCTTCTTCGCAGATATCACAGTTATGAGGTTTCTGGCCGGTGTGGATCTCCATATGCTTCACCAGCTTGTACCGGTGTGAGAAGCCTTCACCGCAGAACTCACAGACGCAGAGTTTCCTACCAGAGTGGATGAGACGGTGGTTCTTCAGGTAGAGCTGATTGACACAAACCTTGTCACATGTGGTGCATATCTGAGGATCCTCCACATGCTTGTCTTTGTGGTGCACCTCGAGTTCGGTTGTGGACAGAAAGCCTTTGCCACAAACCTGGCAGACACACTGACTGTGGCTGTTTTCCTGGTGCTCGATGAGTTTGTAGAGCGAATTGAAAGACTTCCCGCATGTATCGCACACGCGTATCTTCATTCCGGCATGTATCCTTTTGTGGTTGTACAGGTGCAGTTCATTCACGCAGGATAGCTCGCAGATATCGCAGACATGCTTCATCGATTGCTCTCTCTGTCTCTCGTGGATCTTCTGGTGATCTGTCAGCATGCGCTTCAGAGGAAATGATTTCCAACAGTCGATACACGTGAACATTCCCGGAGCCCTCAGGTGGCACTTTTGATGTTCTATCAGGTTCTTTCTGCTGCTGAAGTACCAACTGCAAATCAAACACTTTTCTTGTTTTTCTAATTTCTTTTTGCTGCTTACAGTGGGATCGGAATCTGTAGGACGTTCGGAATAAAACTGTTCGTGCTTTTCATTTTCGAGTTGCTTTTCAAGATGCTTTTTGAGGTGATTTTTGAGATGTTTTTTGAGATACTTCTCTTTTGAGAAAGTCACTTTGCATTTGGGGCATTTGAGCCGTTTCTCATCATGTACCTTCAAGTGACGTTTGTATGTCTTCTTCTTGTGGAATATCGTATCGCAAATTTCACATAGGTATATGTGTTCTCTCTCATGGACTTTCACATGTTTACGTAATGTTGATTTCATGAAGTAAATATTGCCGCATATTCTACAAGGAAAACGTAGAGGAGAATTAGATGCTTCTTTAGCGGCACATGGCTGGTTTCGTTTGGGATGATTCGAGATTGGTTTGGAATAGTTTAAGATTGGTTTTGGGAATCTCTTCAAACACATCCTACACTGCACTGTTCCCTTCTCCACCTTGGAAGCATGTTCATCTGGTTTCACTTTGTCCATGAGACTAAATGCCTTGTTGCAGGTGTCACACATAGGGTTTTCCTCGGAGGAACAAGATTCCCCATCAGCGGCCAAGAGACTAGGACAGGAGAAATCTTTCAAGCAGTTACTGCAGCGGTTAACCTTGCATTTATGTCCGATGCGGTCTTCTTGATCTGTAAAAGTGATGCTACATACTTTACAAAAGAGTTGTTGCTCATCCCCTGGTATCTCTTCCTGCTCTGTACAGTTTTCTTCAGGAGTAGAAGTCCTACCAAGGCCATCTTTGTGGTCATCAGATGTAGGAACTTCCTGCGACTGAGGTTTCTCAGAACAAAGCTGACATATAAAGGTAGCACTGTGGGTCCTTAGGTGGATAGCTAGATTTCGGGGAAGGCGGAACACTTTATTGCACATGGGACAAGGGATGGACTCTCTAATTGTCTTAGCGTGACTTGATAAGTGCTTCTGTAGATCTTTTCTCTTCATGAAGGTCTTTCTGCAGATGTGGCAAGGGAAGGTTGCATATTCGTTGTGTGAAAGCATGTGCGCATGAAGATACTGCTTTTCACTGAACCTTGCCGCACACACATCACATTTGAAGAAATCTCCTTCATCTCCGGTATGACTAGAGTGGATGTGGTCTTTTAGAATAATCTCGGTGGAGAATCTTTCTTCACAAATGCCGCATTCATATGGCAGTTCCTCAGCATGCTTTATCCTGAGATGGACAAAGTAGTTTGTTCTGTTGCCACAAGGTTTTTGACAAAGATCGCAAGTGAAGGAATTGGAAGATGTGTCCATTGTTTGCTGCAAATATTCTTCCCCATCCATAGTGTGAGGTAAATTGGTGTCCATCATATCTGTATATCTGAATTGTCCTTGATCCTGAGGCATCGTCATGAAGTGCTCTAGCCTTTCTGTGAAAGGGTCTTCTTCTCCGAAGGTGTTGGTATTATCTGGAAAGCAAAAAATGTTTAATTACTTTGCCAGTGACAGATTGCAAACTGCAGTTCTTTTCATATATTGAAAGAAAGATTTTTCAAGAATTTACATCTTCAATAATCCGCTAACTGGGAAACAAGCTACCATGCAGAGAGGCAAAGCAAACAATAGGGGAGTGTTTCACAAAGACTAAGATCGACTTTAAGTTGGACTTAACTGTGGCAAGCCGTTCATGGCCACTGTTGGCTCTCACCATTATGATCTTTAGATAATATTTTTTCCTTCAATAATGAATTATCAAAAAATATGAATTCTGTAGATTTATGACCACAATTTTTACATCCCGCCTTGTGAGACCAATGCCATTAAACAGTGAGAGGAAACAGTGGCATGAACGGCCTGCCATAGTTAAGTGTAACTTAAAGTCGATCTTAGTCTTTGTGAAACACTCCCCAGAAATGATAACTGTCATATTGATGAAGAATCAAAGCTCAAGGGGATTTGGATTAAAAAGTGTTTGGATTAAATGCAGAAAAACAAATAATCAGAGTAATTATATGGAAAGCAACAAGAGAGTTGCCACAATAGTTGTCTTGTTACATGTACTGGGGAACGTACATATATTGATAGTCATGAGATTATAGATGACATGGTCCTCCTCATGTTTTTACCATGTAGTAGTACCAGTATCTTAAAGGTATAGACCAGTTTTGGAAATGCCCCCCCCCCCCCCCCCTCTAAAAAATTAAATGGAAGCTCTTATTATCAATCACGTGAAAGAATATGTTTTGACTAATAAGTGATGATACAAATTTTGCCGGGAAACCGCCTACTAATGGATATATTTGGTAAATTATCATATCTATCCGGACTGGAGAGATATAGGGTAGTCCAATATACATCTTTCTGTGTATGGTGCTTGTAACTTTATCAAGACTGGGCCAAATTTCTTATCATTTTGATGATTCCAGAACCTTGCAGTACACACCAATATGCTAGATGATCAACCTTTTCTGATCGATTCCTCTACTTCCTTGACTTTTCCTGGACCAAAGAAAGGACCATAATATTATCCAGGTTTCCCATAATTTCCAGGATAGCTGGGGAGCTTACCCGAGGTCATGGGCAACCCTTGAAATGGACATTGAGCAACTAGAATATTTGGTTGCCAGACCCTAGCTGTCAAACATTAACAGATACAGAAAGAGGTGTGGAAGTCAAGCTGTTTAATAGCTTGACTGGAAATGCAAAGGTCATAGGTTCACACCCCAGCATGGCACTAGTGTCCTTTGGTAAGACATTTATCTACATTTGCAACTCTCCACCCAGGCGTTAAATTGGGTACCTGGTGTTATGCAAACCAAATGAAGTTGGAATGACATGTGTGCACTTGTAAATTGGTGACTGGGCAGAATACTCCCTGGGGAGCGGAGTGTGTGCACTATCATGCACGGAATTAAAACTTGAATACAAAGACTAAGGTAATAATTATAACAATGCAGAGCGCTTAGAAACGTATTATTAAGTATTAAGCGCTATACAAATGCGACTATTGATTATTCCTATTAGCGCAAGATATTGTCAGGCAAACAAATATTCTTGGGACACGTAATGTTGTGCTTAGCCTTAGCACTTTCCCATCAAAATTGAACCGATGCTGAAAAAAAATGTACCGGTATATAAAGTTGAAGATACAGGTTTATAGATACAGTGTTTGGTCCAGGGATGAATTTAGGAATTCTGCTAGAGTAGGAGACTGACCACGGAGCAATTGTCACTGGAGCATGTAACACAAAACCATGAAAACAAACCAACCTTTTGAAGGAAAAAGTGCAAAACAATCGATATTAAGCATTTTTCTCTGCATAAATAGAGCATACAATGAATCTTAATTCCATCAAGCACGAAAAGGTTTATTATCATTACCATTACTATACTTTTGTATCAATATGTTTCATGATTACTTTAGAGATCCTATTCAATGAAATACAACTCTATATTATTAGAAAGCTGAATGAACGTAAATTACAAATCTAAAGGAATAAAAAACACTTTCTATTTCAATCTTGCACAAAAGTGAATTAAAACCCATTTTCCACACCCCTCTTAATAGTACTAGTCAACAGGGGTCAAATTTGCCTCAATTATGGTGACGACATAACATGTGGACCTGATCGGCTCGCCTATAGAACTGAGGCAATGAGCCATGCTTAATCAATGCAAAGTCAATGTGAATATGTGTACCCCATATAAGACGATGTCATTATTAGTTGAAGCTAGCCTTCAGGTTGAAAATTCAGATTTTCAAAGCCTTAGATTTTGAATTTTCAGCAAGCTTTTTTTTAATACACCTCTGACAGAAAATGAAGTAGCATATAAATGATATTGATGATTTACAGTATTGTAATCTATGGCTCATCCATTGATATATAATTAATCTATTTCACTTTTTCACTTCCGACAGGATCTTCAATAACATATACAGTATAATACAGCCATCACATAAAATAAACACATCTGTATGTACCAATAATACCAATATTTAAAAAAAAACTTGAACAAAAATGAGACAAAACACATTATTTCAAAACTTGTATTGCTAAGTTTTAGCACCCTTCCCAAGAGATGAAAAATCCAAATGTGCAAATATTCCCCATTTTTAACTTATTTTTTAGTGCAACCCGTAGTAAAGTGCTTTTTTTAGGTAAATAGTGATGTGTGCAAACCACCAAGTCCATTGTGACCAGGGCTCTACCCGTAAACTACTAAACTACATGTACATATATCTATTTCCCACAAGTTTAACACAGGCATTATCTGGCTTTCATAGGCAAGGGTTATGGGCTTTGGCATTCTTAGATGCTCATTTGTTGCAATCTGAGCTGTTTTTCAAACAATTGTATGACTAATATTTCAGAAATTATGTTGGGCCGGGGAGTATGAATTTAAGCCAGAAAAATGGTTTTCAAACCTATCATTTCAAAATTCAAACCGGCTGCTATAACATGCTAAAACCCCTTGTCTACCACCCTGTTTCTAGACTATACACTGAATATCTGATGCTCCTTCTTCCTGAAGGTGAGAGGATAGCAAATCTGCTAGTATTTAGCAAAGGAAGCCATTCTTCAATATGCCACTCCAATTTCTCATTATCTTTGAACCACTTCTGACTCATGGGGAACAAAAAACAGCTTTTATTTAGGAGCTGTAGTTGTGCGCGAGATGATGCCCCGACAGTACCCCTTGGCTAAAGAATTTCTGCCTGTATATAGAATGATGAATGGGCTTTCAAAGACATTTGTCAGTTTCATGGGTGACATCATCTCACTGGAGATCCACAGAAAAACTCTCATCCTAATGAAGGAAAGCATCAGTCTGATTCTATTTCATACACTGTATCTCCTGTGGTAGCATCCACAACACACTGACTCTCCTCACCATGTTGTACCTGATCAGAGGTCTGATCATTCGATGGGGTTCCAGATGAAGGAGAATCCATCACACTTGGCATATCCAATGAATAGGACTGCAGTCTTTCATCAAGGACAACATGGCACCCAGCATTTTCATTTTTCACTTTTGCGTGAACAACCTGTGGATTGGCCATGTTACTGTCAATATCCAGAATGGACCACAGTTTCTTCTCGGGTGGCGGAACGATTCCATGAATCTTAAGGTGTTCCCCAAAAAGGGATCTATCAGTGAACAGCTTCTTACAGACAGGACAATGATTTTTTCTCTTGGAAATGTGGACACGTGTGTGATCTACAAGTTTTACTAAAGTACCAAAGTCTTTTGTACACCATGAACAACGATGTCTTTGTCCTCTGACAGGGGCGCGACGAAAGATGATTTGACTCTTTGTTATCTGATTGGTCTCGCTTTTCTTCTTTAAAGACTTTATTTGTCTTTGTTTTTCTATCTTGAAACCATGGAGTTGAAGATGTGTTTTGAAGTAATATTCATTGCATAACCACTTTTTACAGACTGGACAGCGGTTTTTCCCCTTGACTATGTGGATTTGCAGATGGACATTCAGTTCGTTCAGAGAGCTGAATTCCTGCACACACCATAAACAGCGATGTATTGGTTGATTCGCCGGTTCAGGGGATTCTGTCAAAGCCTGGGTGTCAGAAGTAAGATGCAGGCTCCTCTGACTGTGGGAAATGTGATCTATATGACATTGATTGGTCTGTTGTTCCACTTCTTTCCTCTGACCCTGTGAGGCAGAGGCATCGCTGTTTGCATCCAGCGAGGACTGCCTTTCTTTGGCAAGATTCTGTTGTGCCTGACAAGATGTTGTAACAACTGTTACAGGAGATCCAGTAAAAACTGGAGTGCCATTTATCCAGTACAATGTTAAAACGGAATCATCATTTTTTCCAAGTCCCGCAGTTTGCTTTTTCATCCCTTTCTGGCCAACTTGTGAACCAGACATTTCATTGCCAGTAATCTGAACATTCTGTTTTTTTTCTAAAGACTGTTGTGATTCTTGATTTTGCCGTTGCCGTCCTACTGGCAAAACATGTGGAACATGTGATTTACTGCTGTTGGAACGCCCTCTCTCATCAGAACTTTGTTGTACTTCATCACATCTTCCATCACCATGTGGAGTTTCAGCTTTGGTTTGTTCTCTCATTGTCCATGTATCCTTTGCAAGGTGCGGCCTCTTACAAGAGATGTCATCATTCTGCCCCTTTGCGCGATGCACGTCCTCATCTTTCGAGTCAATTTGTGAAACAGGCAACTCACCGCTAGTATCCTTGAGGATCCATGCTTTAGCACTAGGTATGAATACACCGTGTCTTCTGAGATGTATTCTGAAGTTTGATTTCTGATCTGTTGCGAACCACTTGCCGCAGAATGGACAACGGTTTCGTCCCTTGACAATGTGGAGGCGTGTATGATGTCCCAGAGAGTCTATTGAATCAAAACTCTCATCACACCATTTACAGCGCTTTTGCATTACTTGAGGAGAGGTGGTCGCTGCTGAAATGTCATCCTGCCTTATTGTGGCAGATGTGATTATTCCATGAACTAGTTTAAGGTGCTTCTTAAAGTATGGGTAAGTAAACCAATTTTTACAGACTGGGCAACAGTTGTTACCCCATGCGAAGTGGACGTTTGTATGATCTACTAGTTCATTTGCATCCTGAAATTGCTTCTGACACCAGACACAGCACAGTTTCTCCTCTTCATCAGCAATATCCAATTCACATCGGTTATCAGATACAGGCTGTGGATCAACAGAGGAGGGCAACTTCTGCTGTACCTGATCAGACCTTCTGGACAATTTCTCCTTTTGATCAGCAATTTCCAAATCACATCGGTTTTCAGATACAGGCTGTGGATCAACGGAGGGGGGCAACTTCGATCTTTGGTCAGACGATGCAGGGCGTGCTTCTGAAGTGCTGGTAGCGATGTGAAGTTTCTTATGAGTGATGTACTCACTATGGTGAACAAAAGATTTGGAACAAACCTCACAACAGGGAGTATCCACCTGCTGTTGTAACTGTCCTTCTTTCAGACCACGAGGACAAAGACACTTGGTGTCAACATCTAGAGGGCCAAGGAACTCCTTGTCAACATCAAGAAGTTTGTCCTCATTAGGATGTGCAAGGGTCATATGCCACTGCAATGTCAGTTTTGATTTCAACCACTTTGGACAAAGAGGACAGTATATGCCTAACTTGAATTTAGGCAAGCAATGATGCTTGGACAGTGATTGTGCACTGCTGAATTCTATCTTGCACACATCACAAGTATGATTTTGTGACAGCTCCACCGTACCACCAGTGGACCTCTTCTTGGTTGTGGAGGATTCCAAGGAATCTCCTGAAGAGTGCAGACTACGCTCAATCTTGAGATCCAAAGACATCCCATCTCGTTGGGAATGACTTGATGCACTGCTAGGATGGTCAATGAGCTGTCTCTTATGAGCAGAACGCAGAGATTTTAGATCCAAAGACATCTCATCTCGTTGGGAGTGACTTGATGCACTGCTAGGATGGTCAATGAGCTGTCTCTTATGAGCAGAACGCAGAGATTTTAGATCCAAAGATATCTCATCTCGATTGGAATGACTTGATGCACCGGTAGGATGGTCAATGAGCTGTCTCTTATGAGCAGAACGCGGAGATTTTAGATCCAAAGACATCTCATCTCGTTGGGAGTGACTTGATGCACTGCTAGGATGGTCAATGAGCTGTCTCTTATGAGCAGAACGCAGAGATTTTAGATCCAAAGACATCTCATCTCGTTGGGAGTGACTTGATGCACTGCCAGGATGGTCAATGAGCATTCTCTTATGAGCAGAACGCAGAGATTTAAGATCCAAAGACATCTCATCTCGTTGGGAGTGACTTGATGCACTGCTAGGATGGTCAATGAGCTGTCTCTTATGAGCAGAACGCAGAGATTTTAGATCCAAAGACATCTCATCTCGTTGGGAGTGACTTGATGCACTGCTAGGATGGTCAATGAGCATTCTCTTATGAGCAGAACGCAGAGATTTAAGATCCAAAGACATCTCATCTCGTTGGGAGTGACTTGATGCACTGCTAGGATGGTCAATGAGCATTCTCTTATGAGCAGAACGCAGAGATTTTAGATCAGAGGATCCAATGCTGAGTGAGGTCTTGTATTTGGATGATTTACGAGACAGGTATGACTTTTTGATGGACGTGCTGCTCTTTCTTTGCTTGCCCATCTGAGAAATGAACATTGAGTTACTGCGAATATGCTCAATGGACACACTCTTATTCTCAAATGGTGGAATTATACCGTGACGTTTGAGGTGTTGTTTGAAGTTGGATTTATTGGACAGCCATTTCTTACAGACAGGACACTGATTTTTTCCATCTTTAATATGGATGCGTGTATGAGCCACCAATTCTTCTAGACCATCAAATTCCCTACCACACCATTGGCAGCAATGCTCCGGTAATCTGCATGAGGTTTGAACCTGTGACGCAGCCATACTGACGGTATCAAGAATGGCCTGTACGTTCTCATCGGGGTGTGGTGGTCCTTGATCAGAATTACTGACACAAGGTGGTGTTCCAGAAGTGAGGGAATCTGCAAAGGTTTGTGTATGACTTGACAGTGGAGATCTCCCAAGGGACAAGACATCATCCTGGCCTTCCGAATTCTGCATGTTCAACACTCTTGCCTTGTCAACCTGAGGAAGAGGCAATCCAATGCTGGTACCGGGAACGGTAAATACCTTCTTCCTGTATGGTGTAGGGATACCATGGACACTAAGGTGGAGCTTGAAACCCCATACACCAGAGAACGACAAACAACAGACTGGACACCGATTCATTCCACTGTGAATGTGGTCATGTGTATGATTCACCAGTGTTTCTAGATCATGAAATCCTAAATGGCACCAGGCACAGCGATGTGTTGGTACTCTAGAAGAGTTTTCACCCTGTACTTCAGACTGGGTCAAGCCATCAACAACTGATTTCACTTCCTGTTTCAAACCTTGAGTGGCATGTGATCCTTTGACAGAACGCTTACAGGATTGCCC